GAGACACCGAGCTGTGGGAACCCATGAGAGTGACCCAATGTTAATGAACGACGAATTTGTGGAATTGATCATCGTGCAGCATGTACTCATACGTTCGTTAAGGAATTCATTTGAAAGCTCAGAAGAAAAGTGCTTGAGATCTAAAATGACTATCTACCAGCGAGCCAGATACGTAACTGGCAAATCAGTGACAATAACCAAATCACGCATCACGTGTCTGAGATTTACTAGCGTGATCTCACATCCTCCCCTTAAGACAGAAGACTTCATCTATTCCAACCGTAGCGATGGCATCGGGCCATATATTCGGTCAGTTATTTTTGCATTAAAAACGGGCTTGCTTGTCAGCTTGAATTACCATTGCCATCAATCAGTTGTTTGTTTAGAGAGAGAGAGAAAGACACTGATGAATTCCAGCTAGTTGTTTTTCTGTGACTGATATGTGAATTTTTTCCATTCTGACGTCCTCGAATTTCATAAATCATGAGGCAAATTGATTTCAGATTTTGTGTACGAATCACTTTCCGAAATGCCTATTTATTTTCATCCCCATCCACAACTAGAGCAGCTAACCGGCATCCTATAACCTCGAGACTTGCCTGTTTTTTTGCACAAGATAATGCGGCATAATCTGAAAAGAAACATACACTATGCGTTCGCTATTTCCAATTGCTCGATAGCGTCAAACCGTTTACTTTTCCCCGTGGAATCACGATAATTCACTACCACAGTCTTTTTGCTTGTCAATGTCCCGCCATTAGTGTTCACCATACCCTATTGCTGTTTTTTTGAGGGGGGAGTCCAAGAGCCGTTAACTGCAACTGGATCATTAGAATTTGCTTTTCAGAAGTTGCTCAGTTTACCCAAGACGTACGTTCACTAATTAGTGCAGCAATAGCGAGGTACTGTTCATCATGCACATTCACCGATGTAAGGTGATGGTGGTAGTGATGTGGTTTGTCCGTTTTCTACCCCTCTACGATTTCCGTTCACGCCGTATCAAGACGGCTGGTCTATGTGGGATTTAAAATTAGCGTTAGACTATAAGGTACCACACCATCTTGTAAACTGATTAGCCATTTTGTTCGATAAGGAACTGCACATTGCATCACGCTTCTAATCATAAAGCAGAAATATACAATGTTTTCACGTAAACTCATTTTCAATGAACTGGTACCTTGTCCAGCATTCATACGGATGGTTTGCTGTTTAACTTTAGTTTTTCCATAGGATTATTCACTAAGTCAACTATATTGTTCAAAATGCACCCTTTTTGATTACCGCTTTGAAGAAAGTGCATTCTTTTTATTATCTATTGACAACATTTTAACTTTGTTCCAATGTTTTCTTTATCGTAAATGACCGTAACAAAAATTTGTGTGATATTTTATTACCTCTGTGTTTCGTTCGTGGTGCGAAGTTATGATTGCACGTATTGACCTGACACTTTCATAACATTTGTTCCTCTCAATGCTTAGTGTTTCGAGCCTCATTCACAGGATTGCATGTGACATTGCCCCACATTGGACGCAACATATCTGATAAAATATCCACCTATGTCCTTGCTTTTATTAGTGCAGTTCACAAAGTTGACTGTCCAAAACAATTTGACAGTCTCCTCTAATATATACCACACCCTAATCACTGACGACCAATCTGGTGGGAGCTAACTTATCTCTGTTTCTAAGATTGAGAGAAATTTTCGACTACATCCAAGTTCCAACTGCTCGGAGGTCACTAAATGATCTCGACCTCAGAATTGACCCTTCCATAAACTGCATAAAGGTGGATAAATAATATTTAATGAGATCTAACCGTTTTATGCTATCAACCTCAAGCGAGAAGATACAATAACCTTCATCTGGGAAAAACATGACGTCCGCGGATGCATTTTGGAAGTGATAGTTACCCAAAACCTCCCATATCAGTGCAAAATATTTTGCAATATTCAGAATGGTGTGTTCAGATCAACAGTAGTCGCGAAATATTTACTACCCTTACAACTCGTTAGGCTAGATGGATATTTAATTCTTTTAATAGGTAAAAGGAAATTCGTGGAAACCTCGGTCAGTAGATCATCTTTCTTCACCTTTTGAGTTGTTCGTTGGCCACCACTAACACACGGCCAATCCGCCTGAACTATTCTCCATATTGGTTGTGTACAAATTTTCTCAGCTTCCATCAACTTCAACCATAGTCTTGCTTCCATGTGATCGGTTTTCTCCCTCCCGGTTTGTCTTGATGGAGATATTCCGTTGATTGTGCATCAAATTGGGCTTATGTTCACATCGAAGCACTTCCACAAGACACTAAATGAATAATTGGATTTTATGTGCCCCTCAATAAAGTTTTCTTTTGCCTCCAATTATGTGCCAAAATCTTTTGAATGTTTCAGCCGGTTTGGGTATGGTGGCACAACAAAGCACTTTTTCAAGTAGCCGCACATTTCAAGGTCAACTTTCGAAGGCCGAATTGCAGGTTTCATGGAATATAGTTTTAGTTCTTTCAGTAGTATGGATAATGCGTGGGTGGTTTGTAGCCAAATAATCTAAAAAAATTATTTAGGCTGGTAAATTTTCCTTACTTGACCTCTTTACTGTGCACTCAATGGAAAGAGATAAACTATTTAGAAAATGCTTCTTCAACTTACTAAACACTCATGAAACAGGAATCACTTATTAGAAAGATTGAATTTCTGTGCTGCTTTGCATAAATATTTTTCAACCCTGAGCTTGAATCTTCGAACTACTAAGATTTCATCGCGACACTCAAGGTCACGCAAATTCAAACGCTGATAGAAGAGTACTAAGTATGAGATAAAGTCAGGAATAGCTACACTGCACCCGCAGTTATCGATATACATATATGATATCGGAGACTGAAATGTGAATTGTTTTCAAGTGAGAAAGCGAGAAAGAAAAAGCAATATCACAGAAAACTTAAAGGAATGCACAAATCCCTAAGGATAAGCAGTATTCCATTCTAACACCGATAGGCCTTATGAATGTTTCGCTTGATCGTGTTGGTACATCTACCCTGACCTCTCTCTGACTTGGTCGGTCTACTTATAACTTTGCTGTCGAAGAAAACATTTGGATATCAAAAGTTTAGTCAATGGGGATACCGTGAAATCACATTGAATTTTCTTTTTTTTGACTGATAAAGACGGGAATTTCCGCGAGAGGTGCAACATACAACGGCTACAAAGAATGCCAACAAATTGCGGAAAAATTACTGTACGAAATTAGATGCTTTTAATACCAATGTTGAGGAAAATCAAAGCAACTGTACATCTTGTAAAATATGAATTTCATTTCACATCATACCATCTGATAAGTAACCTCGGTGACCTAAGTGCCATGAAGCGAAAATCAGTGTTACACAAAACTAAAATCCTCTTGTGACAGATATGGACACTCACGATTGAGCAGCAATAAACTATCTCTGAAAATCATGAAGTTTTTTTGTTTTAGGTTGTGGTGTAATTTGAACATTCGGTGCGCATTGGCGGATACGGTTATTGAAATTTTGTGCAAAGAGCGATTGTACTTCATAACCACTACTTTCAAGCCACATTCTGTTCGAAACTACATCTCTCCTCCGATCACCCATTCAAAACGCCTCTTTCAGAAACACAGAACTCTTAATCAAAGTAGAATGTTGTAACTATTTAGGCGTAAATATGGACACCACCAATTCTAGGTGGATATTTCAAACTGAAAACTGTGAGAATAAATGTTTGGGGACAATATTTATTTATCAGCTCGTTTTTGATTGTCACAATGTCACATGGTTTGATGTTTCTAAGAACGACTAAATATATTCTCTTCTTTGTACACCTTCATATAATTTCACCTTTGATGAAGTGTTTACAAAATTGTATGAACCATTTCGACCCTACTTGAATTATTCGCACAGAGAATAGTCTTTCCACACTTTTAAGCACTTGCAGCATATCATGTCAACCCCTCCACGCATAGACCTTCCGCGATATTTAGTCTCGCTCAAATCCGGCACGGGTATCTGCTGAATTGCTTAGGAATATTGGGGATTAATTTTCACTTTTCAATGAAGCGCAAATTACTTGAACCCGTTTATATAGAAAAGGATTTTCATTTCGGGGTATCAACTGGAGAAACATTACAAACCACGTGTCAGTCAAACTGTTCATGGCTCTGACATATAAATGTTTACGATTTCGTATACAAGAGTGAATTTTGTGAGCAAATGGAGCTTTACTTTCGAGCCTGAGAGGCACGTTCTTGTTAAACTCCTTTACTTGGATGAACACTGACTTTTAGTTTGAGGTACTCTTACCTGTTACACAAATCTCCCACCTCACCCCATCCTCGGTTGCAAACCCTGCCTGATTCAATTTACTGTTCAGTTAGTGATGTACAAATGATAATAGAATTGACCTGGTTAGCGACCACATTTGTGATAGAGTGTATGTGGCTTGAAAACATTTAGGACTATCGTTTATCTTTTCTCGGTATAGTTAACCTCATCAAAGATAATCCAAGTTGAATGGTAGAGTTTTGGAGGCAATGTGACATTTTGGGCATGATCACTTCGTGAACAACGACATAAGTCACATGGCTCTGTGACCTTATATCTTTTGCATGCACTGTGTCACGCCTTAACCTATTATCGTAATATATTGAAAACTCCAAGAGGGTTTGTAGATTTGATTTCCTGTATACTCCTAATGATAAGGTATGATCGTAGATTATCCAGATTACTGAACCCCGAACAAAATTATGGTTCTAAATAAAACCTTTCTTTATTTCTCTGTTGAATAAAACAGTTTTGAATACTCCTCGTACGTCCGGTTGAACTCAGTGCTTTATTAGGCCTAACGTTTTCCAGCGTTCAGTTTTAGTGAGGTTCTTTATCCGATTGGTAAAGGCAAAAGAAAGAAAGCGATTTGATTTGTGAAATTCTCCTGATTCAATCCATTCGTTTTAGGCCAAACTATACATTGCTGGAAATGAATTCGTTCACCCTCTCCTCGGGGGTTTATTCACATTATTTGCAATTGCTCTATGATCGGCCCGTAGCTTAGACATGGATTTGCGAGCTGGCTGGTGAGATGTCAAGTAACGAGTAACATATGTACACTTTTCGGTGAATTTGCCGTGAATAGCCTGGAACAGGGAATAAGTTGGAGCACCCCACTCGATGTAGGTCAGCTTCGCTTACCCGGCGCTCTTCTCACAACCATGCTCCGGGGAACTATATTTGGATTAGTGTTTCAATGAAATACGGAACGGATATTATTGAATAATGATTGTTGAATATTGTCAGAATTAAGTTATGCATGCACAGGAGTCTAGTGCATCATGGTACAGATTGACGATGCCTGGGATACAGAGTACAGAAACATGTGTAGGACACTTGTCGTCATTTTGGATTATTTGGTTGAAGAACTAATATACAATTAAGTTACCCGCTATATTCGGCTATCCAGGAGAGGTTTGTGGAGACTATCCAGAGATTCAGTGATTTTAGAAAACCGGTTGTGGGACATAATTTGCAATAAACTAGAACCGATATACTCAGTGGTAATACTGAAATTGCTTTATGGAAGAATATTATGGTAGTGGTGACACATGAATCAATACATCAATGGTTCGTGCCTTTTCCATCAGAATTTACACACAATAGGCCGTTTGACAATTTTCGTCTTCAATCCGTGGGTGGGCGTAGATGCTATTCACGAAATTCTCCATATGTGTCAACCAGTTTACCGAACACTTTCTTCTACTTGCAATCGAATTTTATAAAACCAACTTTCGTGCACTTTCTTACCAGTAGCCTTTTTACTTCCGGTTTGAATGCTGTCTCAAAATGGACAGTATCCGGTTGTCTTTACTGTCGTCGTCGTCGTCCTCATCATCATCATTATCATCATTATCGTCCTGATTTATGCATAAACCAAATAGACCACCGAGAATCATTTGTCAACTCACCGGAACCATGAATTCGAAAGAGGATTCGATTACTCCATGGACCTGGACCAACTTTGGTCCAAGCACGTACCAGACAAGCATGCGTGGCGGACACAAGATCAGCTATGATAAGCTCAGTCTCGGTGACACGACGCAACTTTTCTGTACTTTCTTCCTCTCCGAGCACGTAACATCGGACTTGATATTGTGTTATTCTGCCGTTACGATATTGAAAATGCGGCGGTTTCCAGGTCAGATGAACACTGGTCTCATCTCCAGTCGCGACGCGGAAATCGATTGGTGCATCAGATGGAGCTAAATAAGAAGGAATATTGAACAGATGAATTGTTCAATTGTTTATAATATAGTTTAGTATTAGGCCGCGGTTTGTGTATTGGAGACCGTAACTTTCCGAAATACAGCGTTTTATCTGTTGGTAATCGATATTGATAACAATGCCGATGCTAGGAATCTCTGAAACGTAAACGAACTTTTATGAATTAGTCAATTAATTTTCATGTGTTCAGATCAAATTGCATTCCGTGTACGAAACGATTATTTAGCTTATCACTTATTGTCCGTTTTTGGATATCCAATGGCGTTCTCTCGTAAAATTATCATTCTGATTGGATACACTGAAATGCGACAATTATTATGAGCTTATTAATCTCTCTGTAAGTCTGTGTAAACGTTTGTTGGTGATCAGGTAGAGCAACAGACGCGGGTCACCTTAGGATCTTCGAACTTCTCAATCTTCAGGGGTTCTGAGCACTGAGAAAAGGGTCACCAACTCAACTAGATGCTTTTCTTAAGTAGTAACAGTCTACATGGTAGAAATGTCGTCTTTACTACAGAAAATTAACTTATTCTGGTATTTCTTGACGCTTCTTGACAACTCTTTCGTTCCACTTGATGCTTGTTTACCATAGATTATTGTTCTCCATTGTGGATTCCTGTGAACTTGTGATCACGTACGACAATTAATCGGACGAAAATAGACATCCTCAGTTACAAAGTTACAACACAACATTCTTCTGTTAGTTACTGATAATATGGTCAACAAAGTAGTTGTAGAAAAAGACTTTCAGAAAAAATATCTTTCATCTTTTTGTATGCCTTTTGGTTTTTGAAAGATACGATGAGATAAAATGCACACGTATTTTCGCCATTCCCTTTAGGCAGTGATGATACTGGTGTATGAATAACCCATCTCAGCTGAGGAAGAGCAAACCACATAAGCAATAGGAATCATCCAGAACGATGCCAAAAGCCCTCTGAAATTCATAACTTTATAACAGCTTGAAAATTCGAAAACGTTTGTTGAATCCACAAAACAGGTATTAAAAGCCATTCTTGATTCAAACTGAGGTCTCTAATGGCGGACGAGTCAAACATTCGTTCCATTCATACAAGCAATCAGCTTACGTAGTCAGCTAGCAGAGTTCTTCTGATTTATGGATATATAAAGCTTGACAAAATGATAACGTGGATAAGACTACATTTGATACCATTATGAATGACAACTGCGTGGCATACAAAAGACGCACCTCATCTCTTAACCAAGCTTTGCTATATCAAAAATTGTAGAAAATAAAATTTTTCAACATTCGTCGACCTCAGAATATTTAGAAATCCTTTGATCTGTCTCGCCTACAGCGTCGGCATGACTAAAGTTTGTGCATTGGGCCTAAAGGACAACGGGTCTCGGTTAAAGCATTAAGGGTTTCAGTTAAACGATTGCGGGTCAAGGTTAAAGAACTATGGGCTTTGGCTAAAGATTGATGGGAAAAGGTGTAGTTATTGGGAAGTCAGTGGTTACCCTTTTCGGCGGACGCTGGATTCAAGTCCAAAGAAGCTTTTATACACTTGGTGCAATACAACGTTTGACTGGTTCTTGAGTATGACAAAACAAACCAAGTCCAATACGAGTTAAGCAACTGGTGGACTGATTACTTTTGTTGACGGACTGCTGGTTGATGAGTGATCCAACAATCCACCGAGGTAGCTCTTGTCGCTGCTCACATATCTATATTACATAAATTTTTCGGTAAGAGAGCTTTTCCGGCTCAACAAGTTATCCGGACTAAGCGTGTGCATGTAACGTGTTCAGACTATTGAACCAGAAAGAGCGCCTTTGTGCTTCAGTGATATGTATCTTGGGGGTTATTTTTTATGAACTAAGTGCGTTGACAAACGAAGATTCCCGATGTTTTCTGGCGACTTAATCACCCAATAAGAAACGATATGAAAACACCCGAGTCTTCCATTTACTGATGTCTTTACAATGTGGAAGTGATTGAAAACAAAGCGTTCTAGTCATATTCCCTGTGGTTTAACTTTACAGGACCAATATAATTTCGATAGGGGAATGATTTTATCGAAGCCGAATGTACAAAGTAGTTTGGGCCGCATGACGTTTCCTTGTAAAAGAGTAGTTTCATTTCCGTCAGTAACTGCAGTTTGCCTTCAANAAATGATAACGGAGTAAAACACTCGTCTCCGGATTTTTGCACATATGGTGGATGGGAAATGTTTTTTGCTGAATTTTTGGACTGCTCACTCTTTTCGTAGTGAAGTATCAAATTTAACCTGATGGCTAGGAAAGAAAGACTCTACGGAAGGATAAAGAAAGGAATCGGTCGGACTAAAAGGACACTATAGGGAGTGGGCAAAGAGCACCAGTCTCAGACACTAATAGCCTTTGACCTGCGTGCGATAAATGAAAATCGTAGTATATACCAAACCAATAGGGTCATACGCCGATGGGGATAGATATGGATTGGCCAGATCAAAAGCTAGGGTAAAGATTACCATCCAAATCCGAAAAGGATCACAACATTGCTAAATACTGACTGNGACTGAAAGTCTCAACAAGGGGGGCTGATTACACACCCAACTACAACCGCGTGAGTTTGATTAGATGGGTTACAAACTGAAATGCTTCCGTAAGGAAGAACACAATCGCAATTACAAAACACATTTAGTCTTATTTGATGCTCATTATCTACTGGAGTTTTTCATGCATTGATGTATTTCCAAAAGCAGAGGATGTAAAAATCCATCCCTAGAAACCAACATCTTGGGAAACCCCAAAACATCTCACACTTTTCAAAAACCCGGTCTAGTAGAATTGCTGGAAGCAAACTCCGTGTTTGCTATTCAAGAGCAATCCTGATCACAATCGCGCCTTGAAATGATATAAAGTGAATGAACGAAAGAGATTGGATGATTGATAGATGACTATGATATAAAAAAACGAGTTCATCAAGCCATTCTCATTGATAAATCATGATATTCGTTTAGCTCTGTGCTCGGTCTGCGGTGTTTATTGTATCAGATAAGTATCAGATGAGTTAAACGAACAGTTTTGACAAATAAGGTATACACTATTGTATTCGTCGCTCGTCCGTTTCTGGTCCTAAAACACTAACCCCTTCCAAAGCGGTAAGATAGTTTATGACGCCCGTAGTTGAAACAAACCTGTCACAGCACACGGTTTGCTTTGCACTTAATTACCTATTGGCGCTTTCGTGCTGTTCTTGCAAGCCTGTTATGTGTCCCCTCCCCCCGCCCGCCCCCAACATCCAAAGTCGCGAGTCACAAGTTTACGTCCGGACAAATGCGCCAATCAAAAACCAGGTTTAAAAGTGGCTTTTTTCCAGGGACAGAAAAAGAACAAAGGAACAGGCACACGTGGCACCATACAGTGCAGGAACCAAAACCTCAGCAAAAGATTGAAGAATCGAGGAAAGAAAACCAATAGGAAGAAGGAGCAGGGCGGGGCGGGGATTGAAGTTAAGGAGAACATCTTGGCTGTCAAAATATTTAAGACATTTGACTTTGCCAATTTATGCTTTATGGGTTTGTATATATCACGCAAGTCAAGCTTAAATGTTAGTCCGCCGAATTTAGCTACAGTAATTTTCCAAAACCGACCAGTCTACTCATTTTTTCTCCCGGTCCGTAACGTGTCTCATACATATGCATTATTTTAACGGCATAGAGTGGGGAAAGTTTTAATGTTAAGGATTGTTTGGGGTAAATTCTGTACAGATTGTGCGCATATACATCCTTTGCATGGATGATCTCTTGGTGCTGGCTGTCGTGCCACATTGATTGACAATATTTTTTTTTATTCTATCATAATATCTCCCAGATACACTTGGGCCGAATATGGTGATCAGAAACCGAGAGAATCGCATTACTCAAGCTGATCTGAGGAAATGTTTTTTGATCACTCTCAGGTGCTCCATTATTGGGGCGGAAATGTAAACTTCAAAGGAGCAAAATGCTGATCGATCGCAATTCTTATGCCATTTTTCTGTATTTCTCCCCTGTCCCGATTCAAATAATGATATCTTACTAGAAGGAAAGTAATGTGCAATTTAATTGTAACAATAGACTGGATTGCTTAACACGTTACGTTTACCCTATCAAGTCAAGTCAAGTATTTGCTTTATGCATCCCGAAAGGTGGATATTCAGCAGTCACATAGTTATCTAACAATTATCGAACAAAATTATAACATAATTATCGTGAGCAGTGAAAATTAAAACAATTTATGGGATAACTGAGTAAAAGTCCGAAGCAATGCTTTCTGAGCTGAAAAGAAAACGGGCAAGATAGGGCACCACAGAAGACCGATAAGCGATCGTACGAGCAAATATTCACTTATAACGGGACCGGGTATAAGAGGAGGAAACACACTTATAAGATCTTGATGTAATGGATGTGACATGACTTTGTATGCTGGGAAATGATGAAGTGACGTAGTTTCACGGGAAATCCCGCTACTTCTTGAAAATGTGTTAAGGATCTGGAAAGCAGTTTAAAGTCTTCTTTGAGCATCCCTGGAAAGATTACTGGGGACCAGTACAACCATAGGGGTAAAATACAGGCAAAAAGAAAACGTTGAATCAAGAAGCGAGGGATGGATAGTGCTTTCAGACGTAAGACATAAAATGACGATTTCCTGACCTTTCCAAATACAGAGACAACTTGGTCAGACCAACATACGTTTCGGTTTACTAACACACCAAGATACTTGACGTTTGGAGGTTGGACAATGGTGCCATTGCCTATGTTCAAAGGGGGACAAGATTCCAAGAGATTATCATGACGGTTCCCTCTGTGAAGTGAGAACAACATGTCTACACATTTAGAGGGATTGAGAGTTAAGTTATGCTCAGTAGACCACTGAGGAAGGTTAGTAAGGCTAAGTTGTAGGGTGGAGGTGACAGATGCATCAGGGTGGGTAATTCCGACCACAACATCGTCCACATATTAATAAGCAGGGAGTTTTGGAAAGTAGGCAT